AATATACATTTTGAATTTCGAAAAAAAAGGTCTTATCTCGAGTCTTGACGAACCCAGTGTGTGTCTTTTAATGTGAAAGCATTAACTGCATCATGAAGCGAGCCGACGTCCTTAGCTTTGAAATCATGCAAAATGACACCTTAATGAATCCACGCGCAAAGCTAGCCAAGGGAACCTTTTACACTTCGGTCCCATTGGGTTGCGCTCGTCGACGAGGCTCCCATTGGCCGCTGCGCGTCAGTTTGTGTGGTGTCATCCTGACTGTGGTACCACACTGATGTGTTATCCCTGATGACCATGTTCGCTTGCCCCTTATCGGTTGTATGGCGCGTAGCAATATATACGGCGCATGGAATAAATCAAGGAGTTCCTTCTGCTGGGGACTACATTGCTGTCTCTTCTTTCCTCGCGCCGCAAGGCACACGACAGTTTGAACGATCGCTCACCCGATGGCGTTGCGTGTCCGCGAGGCAGCGGCTCCACCGTTCCACGCCCAAGGTCAGCGCGTTGCACGCCGGAGATTAAAGAAGGGAGCGAAGAACGGCCTGCTTGCTTTTGCATTCACAACTCATAAGAAGTGCTTAGGTGTACCTCGATCCTTTTTTTCTTTCTCTTTCCTGTGAAATAGTTATTTCATGATCCAAGGTTTTGTCATTTTTTTTAATAAAGCGAAAGCACCAACCGTCTCATGAAGCGAACCGACGTCATCAGCTCTTGCAGCTGCACCAAACGGCACCTAAACTCCCCTGACCCGATGAAGCGAAGCGAATCCGCGATCTTATGAACTGGCTCTCAATGGCTCCCGCGTGTTATAGTTTCAAGAAACAAATAATTCGATATCAAAAAGCCATCTGGTTCCCCACAGTGATAGTCTGTTACAGAAACCAAAACGATATAACTATAAGTTACGACTCGTTTTACCCTATTAATCCCAACTACCAAACCTCAATAATATCCTTAGACGTCATATGGATGTATTAAACTTAGACACATCCTTGAAAAATATAATTTCGCAGCCGCCAGGTATAACATTTAAGAGACCACGTAATTTTACGGACATTTTTAGACAATCAAGAAAATTTCATTGGACGTAACATTGTTCCCGTTGGTTGCGTAAAATGTGATAATAATAGGTGTAACTTATGTTCAAGTACTTCGGTTGCTGACTCCATCAGAAGTACAGCAAACGATTTTATCTGAAAAATAAATGACACATCTAATTTTAATTTTGAAAATATAATTTATTTAATTCAATGCAAGACATGCCTAATTCAATACATAGGAGAGACTGGAAAGAGTGTACGAAAACGCATAAGCTTACATAAAAGTCATATTCGTACACTCGCATCAGGAGCAGTTTTTTGTGCCTTGAATTGTGCCAAATAATAATGGTATTTAAGATTTCAGTTATAGTGTACTTTAAGTTAATTTTAGAACCAGTACTGTAAACAAAAGAAATATCAGTTTGTTTATAAATTTAATACACTAGAATTGAAGTGCTTAACATATCAAAAGGAATGTTACCTTCTTTTTTCTTAATATTCAATATAGGTCTTTTAATCGGTGCCGCACTGTTTTTTTTTTCGCTTAATCGTTGAACGCGACACGAGCAAAAATAAGTATTTGTATGATAAGAATAAGAATGGCATTAGGTATTGGCTTTACGCCAACCACATGCCCCGAAACTGTTTTTGCCAGAACTAATTCAACATCTCTTTTGTTCGTATCGACTCGTATCTGACAATTAAGCGAAATTTTTATCTAAGAGATTTTCTTTCCTTGGTAAGCATCTTAAACACTTCTTCTTCGCGAATCATGGTTTAATATTTGAAATAACTGCCTATGTCACGCACGTGCAACGCAGGTCGTTGCGCTGCACGTGACATCTTTTTTAAAACCGCTTAAAGGACGAGAACGAGAAAGTGATCAGTCTTGCGATCGACTGAAGAAGGACATAAAAAGTCATTGAACCTGGGTATGTTGCGCCATTCCCTTCCCAGCTGCTAGCCGGACAGATGCAAATACCAACATGCAGACAACAAAACCTCCCCAGGTGATTGGCTCATCGCTGTCGGTTGTCATGATGATCGCCGTCTTTGGACCCTTTTTAAGCTTCGAAGCTGCGAAAGGGTCGTCAAGACCACTCGCACCAAGATCGCTATGGAGCAACATTGTGCTGAAAGCGTTCCTCGGCCAATATGAGCGTCTTTGGCACTGTACATGCAAAAAACTTGCTCTTCAGGCTTTTTTTCCGAGATCTCTTACAAATATGTTGTTCTTCTTGCGTGTTTCAAGACTGTAAAATTATTTTTCAGTGCCTCCATGCACTGATGTTGTGTATGATGGCATTTCGAAGATGTACGGCTTCACACGCGGCGACGGTGCTGGGAGCATTGAAAATTAAATTCACTGTCTCGAAACACGCAAGAAGAGCAGCATAGATCTAAGAGATCTGAGGAACTAAGCATGAGTGATACGTTTATTGAATGCACGGAGCCAAAGACACTCATATTGGCCTAGGAACGCTTTGAGTACGATGATGCTCCTTAGCGATCTTGGTGCGACTGGTTTTAAAGACGCTTTCGAAGCTTCGAAGCCTTGAAAGGGTCCAAAATGGCGGTCACTATGTCAACCAAGAGCGATGAGCCAATCACCTTGACCGGTTTTGTCGTCTTTAAGTTGGTATTTGTTTGAGTCCGGCTATCAGGGGGGAAGGCAATGGCGCTACTTTCCCAGATCCAGTGACTTCAGGACCTACCAGACCCGAAACGATTCGCATCGCCTCATCCTGTCGCTCCTGACGTAGCTCTTAAGGCAATCCATTTGTGATATTTGTTACTCGTGAGTGCTTTCTTTTTATCCAGGTATATATATATATATATATATATATATATATATATATATATATATATATATATATATATATATATATATATATATATATATACAGGGTGATACAAGGAGACGCCAGGCTCTTTAAATCGACCGGAAAATTCGGTTTCTTAACCTATCGCGCAACGACTTTGTGCAGCTTTCCCCACAGATGGTGCATTTTTTTTTTTAAATTTGCAAAGAGCGAACTTATTTGAGAAAAAAGTAAAGAAAGAAAAAGGCTTAGCTCCTATGGAAGCGCAGCGACGCCACCGGTCTTCAAACAACACGGCGCCGTTTCGCACGGGGGACAAGAGATTGCGCAACGAACGCCGCCAACGAACGAGCATACGGCGCCGAGAGCCAGCGTCTTTAGCGGACGATCTTTTCGACTCAAAAGCGGCGCGCGTTTCGCAGGCGGCGACAGTCGCAGAAACAAAAAGAGGCGCGGCAACAACAAGGAACTGCAGTTCCTTGTCTGCTAAATACGCCTGCTCTCGGCGTCGTCTGCTCGTTCGTTGGCGGCAGTTGGCGTCGCGACCGCTTGCGCCATCTCTTGTCTCCCGTGCGAAACGGCGCCGTATTGTTTGCAGACCGGTGGCTTCGCTGCGTTTCCATAGAAGCTAAGCCTTTTTCTTTCTTTACTTTTTCCTCAGGTAAGTTTGCTCTTTGCAAATTTTACACACACAAAAAAAAAAAAAAAAGCTCAATATCTGTGGGCAACGCTGCACAAAGTCGTAGCTGGATAGGTTAAGAAACCGAATTTTCCGGTCGATTTAAAGAGCCTGGCGTGTCCTTGTATCACCCTGTATATATATATATATATATATATATATACAAAAAAGGATATATATATATATTCTTTTTTTTTAGCATATATATTTTTTTTCTTTCTTTCTTTAGCAAACAAAGAGCCGCAATAATATCGAATCGCGCTGCTCGCATTTGCAAATGACAACGTGACGGGACAAGCGAATGCCTCATTAGGAAGAATTTGCACCACGGCGCGGCACCACTATTATCGCTTTAGCGGGAACCCTGGCCAGCCGGACCGTTCTATTGCCGAGATTGAGGGAAGCGCCCGTTGTTGCCGCCTGATGCCAGAGCCGTGTGTAGAGAGAATTGGGTCAATGGGAGGCGCGGGCAAAGCCAGGGCGTACACCGGACGCAGAAAGAGATGTTGACATGCTCTCTTGGCCAACCAGAAGCGAGAAGCAGTTTTAATCATACGCATATGGTTCTAATAAGCGCGTAAGAGTTACATGTAGTAACCCTTCAAGGTTGATAATAGGGTGCACGTGATGCTTTGATCATGATTATGCAGAAAGATGTAAGAAACGAATGCGCCGCTCAACTCTGTTTTGCTCGGACAGAGTGTGACTGCTCGTACGGCAGATTCCCGGCCCTCGGCGCTTGGCGTACGGATTATGTCGATCGTTCCACTAGTCGCACTCTTCTACCATGATTTTGAATGACCGTGATTGAGACATCACGTGCATCGTATTTTTAATCACCGCGAGTTACTGCGGTGCACTTATTAAGTTTGTTTTTCGCGACCACCGCCAGGATATTATTTGCGGCTTCTGTTTGGCCACATTCGAATTTGTGAAGACGCCCTGGAGCACGCCCAGCCCGCTTTCAGCCAATGGCGTTTCCTGATCTGTCTCCTATACTTCCCAATGAATGGCTAAACTCTCTACATATACGGCTCTGTCCGGTGCCATCTTACGTGCCGCCATACGTCGGCTGTCGCACCAATCAAACGCATTTCCTTAGCAGGCAAACGCCGTAGGTAGGGATTTCAAGTTCTGGATTTCCAAATTTTTACTTGGCCAAGTTTTTTTCACTTAAATTTTGATACACAGATAACACATTCTTCGGAATCCTCTGTACGAAACCTTAGCTCGATAGGTTCGGGAGCAGCATATACGATCATTTCAAAGAGCGAGCGATACCTTTAACTCATGCTGTAGGTCTCAGCCCTAACCATTTTAGTTATAATGTGTTTTCCGATCATTTATATTTTTCGGATGTTGCATGCTGCCAGTATTTATTTTTATGCGCACGGTTCTAGTTATACTTGCTGTTCGCGAGCAATGATGCGTTTCCTGTTGTTTTTCCTTGCGCAGTTGCGAGAGCGTCAGGTTCGACGCCAAGGAACTCCCATCTGCCTCGGTGATCATAATCTTCACAGATGAGATATTCTCGGCGCTCCTGCGAACAGTGTACAGCGTCGTGAACCGGACACCACCAAAGTTGCTTAGGGAGGTAATCCTTGTCGACGATGCCAGTAGTATAGGTGAGCATTCCTAGTCCTTCACACGGGCAGACCAGTGCTAATGGCTGCTCGCAGTGCTTGCTGGAACTTGTACAGTGTCAAAAATACTCATCGGAACACCTAAATGTTTAGGAATGGGACCTCTTTAAAACAATTTACAAAGCCTTTCGTCAAGTTCATATTACACCGCACGAAGCGTAGAATTGCGGGATCGTTCCGATGTACGTTCGGGCCCGCTCGCACTCTCCGTACAATCTGTCAATTGCTCATGCCTATCTCCCTCACCACTGCGAGTGCAGCATACAAAGAACCCAGAGCGAACGCATCACAAAGTCGATAGGCACCCTGTTTATTTATCGTGTTGCTTTCTTTGTGCTCTGAAATCGTAAACTGCTAAACAAACATCAGCCGCTCTTTCTATTAGCCGTTCTCCTCCACTCGCCGTATAATCGGTTTGCAGTAGTGCGTCGAGAAGACGATGGGAGGCGCTGCGTATTTTCAGAATGGTCTATTACCCAATGTCCTTGCTCGGCATCTATGAGGTGATAAGGTGGTTAATATTTATAAATCGGCAAGAACACATATTCAAAGCGTGCAGAAGAGTGGTATTTTTGCCGACTCCTATTGTTGTGTTTGTTGCGGTTACGGCTCACTGATACGAAAAAGTTTTCATAGCCAGAAGAGATCCGACTGACAGGCGACTTTCCTCTGCAGAGGAGCTGGCCAATCAACGGCTGCACAAATACCTCCGGCGGCACTTCAGGCCGAGCCTGGTAAAGCTCATTCGTCTGCCGCAGCGGAAGGGCCTGATACGAGCACGGCTCACGGGAGCACGGGCTGCCTCGGGGGATGCCTTGGTCTTCCTGGACTCTCATTGCGAGGTCACGGCCAACTGGTGAGAGCGTACAAGGCTATGAATGGTTGAATCGATGGTCGATAGTAGTAGCGGTAGAAGCGCTGCGCCATTTGCGCCAGATTGCGCCATGAACGAAGTCTGCAGCATTTTGCGGCGAAATGCTAATTTTGCGAAGATTGGCGCCACACCTGCGCCGATTAGTCCTAGAACAAAGCAAAATCTAAAAAAAAACAAAAACATTTTAGTATTGATTGTTCTTTATACTGGGAAAAGTAGAAGGAAAGAAAACGGGCGAAAATATGCATTTCACAGCGCTACACACTTTTGCAAGTACAGCCTCCAGCCGCCGCCAAGTTGCTCGTTTGGGGTGCGCTTGGGCGCGGCTATTCGATTACGAAGCCTTACGGCCGACGCCCAACCGCACCCCAACCCAGGAAGATGGCCGGTGCCCTGAGGCCGTACTTGCAAACAGTGACATCACTAGAGACGGTGGCACCCAAAGTGGTGACCTCCCCCCTCCCCCCCCCCCCCCCTTCACTGCCCGACTGCACCCCGTGAGCGCTGCACCTGGGGCGGTCAGCGACTACCTTGTCCCCACCAGCTTCCCCCTAGTGACGCCACTGCTTGCAAATGTGTACAAGGGGTCGTAATCGGATTATGGCCGCGGCGCGTCAAAGCGCACCTCAAGTGAGCAAGAGGGTTGCGCCCAGAGGCCGTAGTTGCAAATTTGGATACTCACCGAAAATGATTGTTTCATTTTAGGCGAGACAGCAGCTGAAAGGCTGGAACACATACAATCCCAATCTACACATCCTAACAGTCAAGTCAGGGGGTACTCGCCGTGCTTGATTCGTTTAGCCAATGAACAAACACGTACAGCAAGATGACGAATGTTCATAATGTCGCGGTTTTCACGCGGTTTTATTGGTCCCCTTTTCTCACACCAGCGGCTGTGATTTGACTTGGGATTAAACGAAGTGTAGACATAGCTCGTCCACCGCGTTGGCCCCGTCGTCGTATGAATTTTCATACAATGCCGGCATTATCCAGAGCTAAAAGTCGCGAGGAAAATGTGCAAAAATAGTGGGAGGCCGGCTTCGGTAATAAGACAAAAAGAGGATTTTCTACTCCTGATGAAATCACTTTATTGTTACAGCGAAGCCGTCTATGACTCACAGGTCGGACTTCTGGAAGGTTTTTATGTTGGTCAACCTCACGTTAAAAAGAAGAAAAAACTTATTAAAACACTTTTAGCGATAGAAGCGGAAAGTGCATATCACGCATACAACATACTGCACAACATTCGTTTAAATAAAAAAAAAAACAAGCACAAAGCAAGCATTCAAGCAGTTAATTGATGACAAGGCGCTCCTGAGGACAATGCGAAGCACGTAGCGCTCTCCCCGTACGTTTCGTGGTAAAGATTACTGTAATGCCAGCTGCCGTTGCGACGGCAGCTTGTGACGTGGGGAGTGATGTCACTAGCCTTTCGTATGTAAAATGTTTTGGTACAGTGCATTTACTTTTCTTTCGTCAATCATTTTATATAGACCCTTTGCTGTTTACAAACATGAACTGCCGCTTGCGTCCCAAGCGACTTCCGGTCGCACCATCTTTACAAGCCTGTTGAGCTGCCTTATGGCACCAGCGCTAGAATTCATAAATGCTACACGGACGACAAAGTTGGAGATTTAACGAGGGCCTTCGGTTGTACAATGTTATATCTTGGAGGAGGCAAGTTGGTGCAGGGATCGCCAACCAGGCGTTACCGGGTTTAGCTTCCACTTCCCGAGATGGCGCTATAGGTGTGTCTCGCCTAAGTATATGAGGAAAGGTGCGAGAATAAAGGTTGTTTGGTTCCGCGAGAAAGTCACCGGTGCCGTCTGGTACCTAGTACCCGATACCTTGCCGCCCACGCGGCGCCAAACATGGTTGGTGGCTTCCTGCGCTGCCTGGACGACTTACACCAACTCAGCCTAGCCACAACTACTTCAGAGTCCGGGATGCGAGGGAGAAAGCACGCCAGTCTCTTTCTGTATCACTGAATCACTGTTCCTAGCGTTGGAGCTAAGTTGATGGCCTCCAACTCAAGAGAGAGAGAGAGAGTCACCGGTGCCGTCGGCTATCTAGCGCCCGATACCGCCCTGCCCACGCGGCGCCGAACATGGTGTCAGAAGCGTGCTCACGTCGGTCGCTCTGACGTGAGGCCTAGGTTTCGCCGACGCGCCGACTTTCGCTTCGCCGGACGCCTTCACCGGGAAAGTTTCCGCTCACTCACCATGCCTGACGACGACCAGTCTGCTCAGCGGCACGTCCCTCCGGTCCCACCGGGCATCGTGCCTCTCTGCGCGCCACCCGAGTTCGACTTTGACACCCCCAGCGCCTGGCCCACCTGGCTCCTCTACTATGAAGATTACTCGTACGCCACGGGCCTCTACGCTGCCACCCCGAGGTTCAAGTGCGGTCCATACTATATTGTATGGGTCCTCAAGCCAGGGTGATCCCTGCCTCAACCATGCTGAGGGAGGTTGACTTCAGAGATGACATTGCGGTCAAGCAAGCGTTCACGGCCCACTTCGTGCACCCGCTAACGAACTTTACCAGTCGGCTGGCTTTCACCGTTGGGTCCAGCAACCGGGTGAGACAGCAGACGCTTTCCTTACTGCACTCCGCATTATGATGAAAAGGTGCAGCTATCATTCCCCAAACAATGAGGAGCGGCTCGTCCGGGACCGTTTCTTGCTCGGCCTGCTGGACCGCAAGCTATCCGACAGCCTGTGTCGGAATCCACGACTGGCTGTGCAAAAGGCGCTCACGCAAGTTCGACAGCAGGAAGACGCCGACAACAAGCGGGAAACCCGTGACTCGGCAGAGTCCGCCCGCTCGCCGTTGACGCGGCTCGTATGCGAAGACGGAGGACGCCTGCTTCGGCTTCGACGGACAGGCCCAGTCAGCTGTGCCAGTTCTGCGGGCGCGCAGCGCACCCGCGGAAAGACTGTCCTGCACGACGCACATCCTGCAACTACTGTCGCTAGACAGTAGTCGCAGGATGCCTCAAAAAGAAACGGGCCCCTACCGAAAAATCCGGTATAACTTTCCTTATCCGGAATATGGAACCGGAAATTTGTTACTGGAAACCCGAAATCCAGATTACAGACAAAGGAATAATTTCTGAAAACCTAAATTCCAGATAGAGTCCAGATAGAATCCATATAGATTTCCGGTTCCATAATCCGGACAGCGAAAAGTTATACCGGATTTTTCGGTAGGGGCCAGCGAGAAGTTTACACCTATCCCGTCGGCCAACTCCATCGAGCTGCATGCCGTCGCAGAGGAGCGCCCAAGAGCTAAGTTTCTGGAGGTGCACGTCAACGGCCGTCGGCCAACTCCATCGAGCTGCATGCCGTCGCAGAGGAGCGCCCAAGCGCAAAGTTTGTGGAGGTACACGTCAACGACAGTCGGCCAACTCCATCGAGCTGCATGCCGTCGCAGAGGAGCGCCCAAGCGCTAAGTTTGTGGAGGTACACGTCAACGGCCGTCGGCCAACTCCATCGAGCTGCATGCCGTTGCAGAGGAGCGCCCAAGCGCTAAGTTTCTGGAGGTACACGTCAACGGCCGTCGGCCAACTCCATCGAGCTGCATGCCGTCGCAGAGGAGCGCCCAAGCGCTAAGTTTCTGGAGGTACACGTCAACGGCCATCGGCCAACTCCATCGAGCTGCATGCCGTCGCAGAGGAGCGCCCAAGCGCTAAGTTTCTGGAGGTACACGTCAACGGCCGTCGGCCAACTCCATCGAGCTGCATGCCGTCGCAGAGGAGCGCCCAAGCGCTAAGTTTGTGGAGGTGCACGTCAACGGCCGTCGGCCAACTCCATCGAGCTGCATGCCGTCGCAGAGGAGCGCCCAAGCGCTAAGTTTCTGGAGGTGCACGTCAACGGCCGTCGGCCAACTCCATCGAGCTGCATGCCGTCGCAGAGGAGCGCCCAAGCGCTAAGTTTCTGGAGGTGCACGTCAACGGCCGTCGGCCAACTCCATCGAGCTGCATGCCGTCGCAGAGGAGCGCCCAAGCGCTAAGTTTCTGGAGGTACACGTCAACGGCCGTCGGCCAACTCCATCGAGCTGCATGCCGTCGCAGAGGAGCGCCCAAGCGCTAAGTTTGTGGAGGTGCACGTCAACGGCCGTCGGCCAACTCCATCGAGCTGCATGCCGTCGCAGAGGAGCGCCCAAGCGCTAAGTTTCTGGAGGTGCACGTCAACGGCCGTCGGCCAACTCCATCGAGCTGCATGCCGTCGCAGAGGAGCGCCCAAGCGCAAAGTTTGTGGAGGTACACGTCAACGACAGTCGGCCAACTCCATCGAGCTGCATGCCGTCGCAGAGGAGCGCCCAAGCGCTAAGTTTCTGGAGGTACACGTCAACGGCCGTCGGCCAACTCCATCGAGCTGCATGCCGTCGCAGAGGAGCGCCCAAGCGCTAAGTTTCTGGAGGTACACGTCAACGGCCGTCGGCCAACTCCATCGAGCTGCATGCCGTCGCAGAAAAGCGCCCAAGCGCTACGTTTCTGGAGGTACACGTCAACGGCCGTCGGCCAACTCCATCGAGCTGCATGCCGTCGCAGAGGAGCGCCCAAGCGCAAAGATTGTGGAGGTACACGTCAACGGCCGTCGGCCAACTCCATCGAACTGCATGCCGTCGCAGAGGAGTGCCCAAGCGCTAAGTTTGTGGAGGTACACATCAACGGCCGTCGGCCAATACCATCGAGCTGCATGCCGTCGCAGAGGAGCGCCCAAGCACTAAGTTTCTGGAGGTACACGTCAACGGCCGTCGGCCAACTCCATCGAGCTGCATGCCGTCGCAGAGGAGCGCCCAAGCACTAAGTTTCTGGAGGTACACGTCAATGGCCGTCGGCCAACTCCATCGAGCTGCATGCCGTCGCAGAGGAGCGCCCAAGCGCTAAGTTTGTGGAGGGACATGTCAACGGCCGTCGGCCAACTCCATCGAGCTGCATGCCGTCGTAGAGGAGCGCCCAAGCCCTAAGTTTGTGA